CTGTTGATGATCTCTTTCCACAACAGAGAGTCCTTTGATTTCACATGGTCTGAGAGGAGTTTCCAGGAGAGCAGCCAGGCTGCCAGGGAGCCTGGAGTCAGCGGTTTGCATGATGGCAGAGACCTTATGTTTGTTAAATGCCATTCCTTTTACAGCCACCACCTGCCTAGCTGAAAGGTTATATATGTTGTCCCAGATCGCTCAGATTTTTCTCATAGGAGAAATGCTCCAGTACCTCCATCATCTGTGTGGCCCTTCGTTCAATGTCTTCTTCTCAGGTGTTACAATATTCTCTGCCACTGCCTTGTAGTCATTCTCATGGTACTTAAAGCTTTTCCCAGAAGCTCCTTTGACTCTTCTGCTGCTCTTGTTGTCATGTGAAGCATCCTTTTGCTCTGCTGGGATACCCGGTTCTGTTGTTTTGGACTAAGTCTTCCTTATATCTAGTCTGAATCTGCCCTCTTTTAGTTTAATACCATTACCACTTGTCCTATCCTTATTAAAAAGTCTGTCTCCATCTTTCTTACAAGGCCCCTTTAAGTACTGAAAAGCCACAATAATGTCTCTCTGGGGCCTTCTCCTCTCCAGGCTGTTCACTTCTTCTATACCTCTAGTCACTGCTGTACATTGTTTAGGCCTTTCCAGTAACAGGATAAATATGTCAATGTGAAGTCCACAGGACTGTACATAGAGGACAAATAGTACAGAGTTTTCTTAGCCCCTGTTGTGGCACATCTTTTTTCCCAGTTTGCATGGATGAACACATCCATTGCTTTGCAAAATAAGTTCCTGAACTGCTCTCAGAAGCTCTTTCCCTCAGCAACAAAATGTACCCATCTGTCTCCTTTGACATGCACCCCAGGGTCTGGGCAGAGGCTTGTTATGCCAGAGCAGTAACTGCAGTAAACTGACACAGCTTTACAGTATAAAAGCTCTAAGAGCAAAAACTGGTATAATCTTTTAAGCATGTAGTTTTTCTTTACAGACAGGCATCTGCAGTAGAGGATATGGGGTGCTTTTCTGTCTCATTTCATGCAAGACATCAGGTTTTGCTTGTGAATCATGCATTCCTCTTCCAGGGATTTATTGTATTCTGTACACTCCCTGGATGTGTTTTTGGAAAGCTAGACTGGTGAATGATATGAGCCCTGAGATTATAAAGAAAAAATATTTCTAGTTAACCAAAAGAGTCAGTAAACTTTGCTCTCAAGCCCAGCAGGAGGCCCAGCAATTTCTTTCAGCTTAAACTGGCTCTGACTCCAGGCAAATTCATTCTGGGAACAAATAGCAAGTCAGTAAAGTCAATAACCACTGAGGACAACAGGATTTGTGGGCCAGCATTTCCTTCAATCTGACCTGAAATCATCATTGGTGTGACAGAGTAATTCATAAATTTTTCTGTTTGTATAATGTTGCAAAACAGCTAAGAAATGCTTTAAAACTGTTCAGAGAATAGCAAAAGCTGAAAATTTGTTGCTTGTAAATAACGTACATAGAATGTTTTCCCATTAGTTACAGTCTGTTTAGAGATGGAGTGGAACATTTCTCATTAAAAGCCAGAAAATATTGGAAGGTGTCTGAAAAATAATTGTTCTGTTTAAACCTCCCAGTGTGCTCTGTGATTCATATTTTAGCAGAATTATTTTAATGAGAAACCCCATTGTTTCTTGAAAGAAAAACAATCCTTGATCAATATTCCACAATGTTTCTGGTAGAGTAAATAAAAGCATTTTCTGCTAGGAGAAGAATTCAGAGAACTTCCCTGCAGCACCCAAAACCATCCTCACTTGTTTACACTGGCAGGTAGGGCAGTGCCCTACCTATGGCATGTTCTCAGCTTTAGGTTAGATAGTTTAGACACAGCCTAAGTATCTTTGGGACAAATTGTTTCACTTCCCCGTGCTTCAGTGTCTGCACCCGTAAGCTAGGGACAACAATGATGAGAACCCTCTGGCTGAAAGGTTAAATCCGGGTTTTCACTATTCCTATTAATATTCTTCTATGACTGTGGTATAAAGGGAAGAATTATCCCCTATGCAGTGCTAGGTCAAGTGTGTTTGAGGTTGTCTTCAGTTTCCACTTTAGGAGCCTGGGCTCACGCTCTCAGCCTTAGCTTTTCATTAGTGCTCATTTTGATGCAAGCCTGAAAGGGCAGTGACAAGCTTTCTTAAAGCTGGGGATGAAATACCCTCAGTGCAGCACCTCTCTCTTGCACACATGGAGCCTGTGAGCACTATCTCTGCTGTACTTTTAACTGGCAGATAACCTGGTGGCTGGTAACCAGGGACAAATGAAAGGATTTCAACCCCTCTTTCCTTGCCTCAGGGTCCAATGCTGGCTTTGGGAGCCAGCTCTGGAAATACAAAGGGTGTGTAAAATAGCTGTCAGCTATACTAACTGCATCCCCAGCACAAATTCTGTCCTGTGTTTTGGTGCCAAGGAGTCGTAAGAAGCACCATGCAGAAAAGAGCTCTCAAGATCAGAGCCTGACTCACTGTCAATATCAAAATATAAACTGCCCAGCCCACCTAACTGCAGGGAACAGAGAATCCTCACCAGCATGCCGAGCATCAGAGAATCCCAGCAGAGTCAGAGATGCATAACATGTTGCTGGGTTGGACCTAATGCATGATAATAGGAAATGAAGAGAAAATAAATTACTAAGCATAGCTTATTTACAAAGCAAAGTAGAGAGGATGAACATTCCTATGCAATAGGTACATATTTACATGCATATATATAATTTGTAGGTATACAGTTGATATATAAAAATCTGTGTGTGTGTATGTGTACATTTACTCAGTACAGCTAAATGTTACTAACATCAATACTAAAAGGCATTATTGCACTAAAAAGATCCCAACACAATAAGTTCTCTAGCTGGCTATGAGACAGAAATGCCTGATCTGCTGGGTTTGGATAGCCTAAATACAGCTCAAAAGTTGTCTCTGACACGCTTGTCTCTCCAGTTTGGTTGTCAAATGCACTCTGAATAAGAGTACCCTTAAGAAAGGGGTTTCTGTGCTCCCAACATGCAGTCCTTTTCCTGGTGAAGTAAATGGGAAAGCAGCTTTGGAGAATGTGAATCATCTGGTCTGTTGAGCTGAAACCATTAGGCAGAGACAATGCAGATAGAGATGCTAATGGGATTCAGGCTAAAGAGACATTTAAAAATGAGGCCGTGTCTCATCTTTCTGATCTTTTGTCATTCAGTTTAGGTAAGTTCCTCTTGGTGGGCAGGACACTAATATTTTCCTTTCACTTCAGCAAGGCAGTGTTTGCTATGTGCCTGCATAAGCTATCCACCCCACATGAGCCAAGACTAAGCTGCACTCACTCTCTGCTTGCTTGGTCAGTGAAATACCATGTCTGGGCCACCATCCTGCCCTTAGCAAACAGTGAGCGTGTTAACACCCAGCACTGGGCACCCGACATCCGCAGCCTCCAGCTTGTGAAAGAGGGTGGTGTGGTGCAATGCTCCTGTAAGACAACAGGTAAAGATGAGTAAAATGGGTGTTCTCAGAGTTCAGCTTGTCCCAGGGATGAAGAAAGCTATATGCTTTCCTTTCTTTCTTTAAGTTGGCCCGGTTAAGTCCGATACTGATTTCTACAAGAGCACCAACAGATCCTAAATCAGCAGAAACCATCACTATCATGGAGAATGACAGTGTGTCCGCAGACTTGAGTCCTGAGCTAGAACGAATAGGGGACATGTGCACTTAAGTGGGCAACACTTCCTAGGAAACACCACCCTCATTAGATTGGTACATGCCCTAGAACCCAGACCTGCATTTTCTGCATAATGAAAATCCCTCTAGTTATTGAATGTTGCTGTTTTCAATGTACTACATAAAGTTTGGACCCTTAGTTTTTAGACAGTCTGATTTGTCTGACAATGGTATATACATATACTGGTGTATCACTTTAGCTACAGACCCCTACAATTGACATATTGCTCAATTTGTGATACCAAGTGGAGAGAGAACAAGCAACCCCAAGCATTTCCCCATGCGTTTGTAACATTGTCAGCTGAGCTGCTGCCACCGGGAAGAAATTCACATTGTCTACTGGCAATTAAATGTACAGTGGCATAAGGGAGTTACATCTCTTTAAAACTGGCCTCAGCTTCCTATTCTTTCACTCTGCTTTTATTAACAGGTTTCTGATTTTCTAAAGGCAGTTTTCCGTATTTTTTCTAATTATTTATTGATGATATTATATATTGATGATATACTACAATGGTTTTAATTTGCCCCCCAAATTAATTCTAACTATTTATCTAAGTGAATAAATAGGATGTAGCGGGGCATTTAGCTCACCTCCCAAGTCTCCATGTGCCATTGATTTCAGGTGACATGGAAGGGATGGCAGTGACCCGTCAAGCCAGGCAGAGACCTTGCTTGTAGTCCCATCACGGGTGATGCCCCACTCCTAAGATGCCTTGCTGCAGAAAGCTTCCTCCTGTACCTGGAGTAGAATGAGGCCGTGGCTATGCAGGTGCAGATTTGTTATTTAAAAACTCACACCAGTTTATCAGTCACGCAGGCAGTGGTGCCGAACACCCTGCAGCTTGTGTTCAAGCAGGTTACAGGAGGGTGACCGACCTAAAGCCCTGGAGCCACAGGCAGTGTATCAACCGCTCAAATCCCTGCTCATCCATCCCACAGCTGCCTCACACAGACAGCTCTGCTGCAGGGGGAACATCAGTGTCCCCAGAGCTGGAAGGAGACAAGCCAGCAGGAGACATTGCAGCCATCATCTCCCAGCTGCCCTGGACCCAGCTCCATGTCCCCCATCAGCTCTGTGCCGCCCCATGCCGAGACCTTGGGGGCTTACAGCCAGGTCCTTCAGCTGTCCCCTGAGCCCCCTCCCCTGTTTGCGGCACGAGTCCGGTCACTTGATGTCTTTTTGGTGTTTGGCTGTTCAGGCCAAAAAGGTTGGGCATAACTGAAGTGATGTAGGGGGGGAATGGTGGCTTTACATGTCCCATCTACTGCTTGTAATGAAATCCCACTTGTACATAACTAAACTAGGAAGTAGTACACATTAAACTATTCAGAATAATAGGTATTTATTTTTCAGTGCTATTTTCATTAAATATTGGTATAATATATCCATGTCTGAGGTAATAAATTAAAAATAAATTCAAGATTTCAGTCCCATATTTGTGCTGCATATTTTTTTCTACCATTATACATAATTTTGAAGCAAACACACATAGTCTGTAATTTTGAATGCAGCTAGGAATATTATTTTAACACAGTCACTTTTTGTCTCACTATAATTTTGCTGAGAATGTTTATTGCATGATACACTTTTAATAGATGTTTTAGTTATACTAGAGTTTTCTATTAAATCACACATACCGTAGTTATAGGAAGATGGGCATGAAGATGTGCTTTGAGCCAAGGAAGGCAAATATTGAATCAGAGTGCTAGCACATACTGCAGGACTATTGTCTACCTGCACTAGAGTCCAGATCCAGCAAAGCCATTTAAGTGTGTGCTTAGCTTTAGACATATGAGTCGTTTCAGTGCCATCCATGGCCTTAAGTGTTTGCTGAATCAAGGACTAGCCAAGTCTGAAGACCTAAATTCAGAGACTTAACTATGTGTTATTTGAAAACAGTTTTGCTGGTTTCATATTTTGTGAGATATTTTGTGACGACCTTCGTAAGATTTTTCGTATCAGTGAAGCACCCATGAAAGTTTCTAACCTGGTTCATAAATACACTATGAAAAAATAAGCAGCTACAATGACTCTCTTCTACACATTTTGTTAAAAGCAACACCTGGTTTGAAAAGTTATTAAAGTAATTTTTCCCATGGTAAAATATATTTAAAAAAATAAACTCTTCATTTCATCATCTTCCATCAAACATATAAGCTTGTTAAAGGGCGGGGCATACCTCAGGTATTTTCATCTATAAATGCAAGAGATTGGGTGTATCAATCCTTTTGCACTTAAATGCTGGTGGTAGTAAGGCCCTTTCAGCTAAGTCTCCATCAAGCCCAACATTAGTGAGCTAAAAAAACAAACAAACAAAAATTTTGCTTGCATATAACTTTTTCATAATCCTGAATTGAAAACAAATCCTCTCTGCTTAGAAAAAAACCTTTTATTTAACTGCTGCCATTAAAAAAGTATACCTCACCTCCATGTTGTTTTAATTTTAATCAGTGGTTCTGAATGCAAAGGATTTAAACACTCACTAAAATTACTGTGGCATGTCATCAGACTCTTAATGTTCACAAATTGTGCTAATCCCCATTTAAATCAGGAAGCTGTAGTTTAGAGCTAGAGCTAATGGTTCTCTTGGTTTTAAAGGTCTACTTCCACCAGATTTTCTTTATTCTATTTTGCAAATGACTGACAGTGCACATGATGTGATCCTGGAAAACCGTTTGGCGTTATTACCAAAAGCTACAGGCTGTGTGAAAACTCTCCATGCTCATGCAGTGAACTGCATCGTTGCGGGGACCGTGGTCCGCTCTGCGGTGCCCTCGGGCCTGGCCACGAGGGCGCAGCTCTGCAGCCCGGGGTCTTCAGTACTCCACCGAGCTCACGATTGCCATTGGTTCATCAAATGTCGCCAACCTTATCTGCTTTGGGGTAGGGATGGAGAGAATTTCCCCGGTGTCAGTTGGTGAGTGAATACCATTGTCTATTATGTTGGAAACCTCCTCCTCGTGATCCTCGTACAGTGTGTTGATGTGCAGCAAAGGGTGGGCTGGGTTGCAGTTCAGTGCCGGTGTTGGCTCTGGCTTGACTTGGTTCAAAGTCATACTCGTTGCAGCAGCGGTTGTGGCTATATGGTTGTGGTTACACGTGACAAAAGCCCCAGCAGCAGACACAGCTCTGCATGTCTCAGATGAGTATAGGATCTCTTTTGCTGGATGAGGGGTGTCTAAAAGAAAACAAAGCAGCCATTTAAAAGACAGGTCGTCTTTCACCCTTCCAGTCCATCAGAGAGGACTGTCCTGAACCAGTAAAAGTCATTGGCAATTTTGCCACTGATTTCAGTGGGAGCACGACTGGAACCAAAAATGAATTTTCTCAGGACCCTTTGAGAAATCCAACAGGACTGTTTCGAAACAACAGGGTTGTAAGCTCAGGGAAACAGGACAAACAACAAATGGGTTTTGTAAACTTTGCTCTTTTTTTACGCATGCTCATGCTTCTTACGTGAATGGTATTTTCATAAAATGAACAAAAAACAACTGAAAATTATCTTTTATTCCCCTCTATAGTATGGCAGGTGTTTTATAAATGTTATGATTTAATGTTTTGACAAATGTTATGACTGTTGAAATCCACAGGATGGATACAAAAACACTGATATTTTCAGTGAGAAAAAAACTAGTGGCTACACATTGTAAGCCACTCGTCTTTAGAAAGAACTCAGCAATTTGATATTAACTGATGTCTCTTTCCAGAAATTATAAGTCTACCTTACCTGATGGACTGCAATGTAGGTCTAACTCAAAAGTAAAGCTGAAAATTTTTAATGGGAATGGGGAATAACAGAGCCCCAAAACTACAGTAATTATTTTTTGCCCTTAAAATATTCAAGCACTAATTTAGATGAAGGTAATTGAGACCAGAAAACCCCAGTAGTTTTGAGGAGTTGAAATCAGAGCAGGTGACTGGATAAGGAATGCTGCAGAATAGCTCACATGCACATTGGGGAGTTGGAGGGCTCTAAGGAGCATAGGGATTTGGAAGTGACAGAAACGTTTATACCTCAAATCACTTCTTTGCTGGGCAGTGGGGTGACGGTAGCTGTCAGTCTGTCGAAGCCCAGAGGGAGGTCTTAGCTTGTAAGGAGATGAGAGCCATTGCTTTAAGTACATACAAATCTTTCTGTAACTTCAACTGCATAGTGCTTCTTTCTTATGTCAGTAGCTTACAAAAATAAACAAGAAGATATCTGTCTATCAGTTTATCTACTGATCTACCACTTTTCTCAATGCTCACACGGCTTTCCTCATCGCTCTAGCATGTAACAATTACTGATATATTTAAAACATTCCTTTGAGGTAAGAAAGGGACAGGATTTCCAAGACACACAGAGGAAACTGAGGCACAGAAAGAGCATCTCGTGTGAGGCCACATGGGAAGGGAATGGCAGAATTCCTGCATCCCTGACCAGCACCCACATTTCAGACCATTCATCCTCTGGTCTACATGAGACAAAGGGCAATTTAGAACATTAACACAGCTTCTCACAGACTTCTAAGTGGCCATTACTGGTCAGAGTACTGGTCATCTACTATAGCATTTTCTGTATGACTTGAAAATAAGACAGGTTTGGAACGTGCCAGGTGCTGGTGGATCAGGAAGGATATCATGGAGGCCAAACTCTCCTCATTTCCTTGGCAAGGCATGACTACATTTGTAATTGTGAAAATCTGCTTACATTTGAAAAATTACCTGCACCAACAGCCTGTAGGCTGTTTTGTACAGCTCTGCCTGTAATAAACCTTATCCTCCATACAGCTGTTAAAGAGAGAGAACCTCTATTTCTGAGGCCTGCAAGCCTTAGGATTATTAGCTATCCCAAAATCTAGCAAAGTAGGTCAAACAGTTCAGATAAGCTTTGAGTTCCTGAAGATAGCTATGCAAATTATGGTCTGTGGAGGTGGTACGGGCATTATGGCATACTGTACCTTTGAGAGAGGAGGTAACGTGTACTACGACATTCTCCTCCTGGTTTAAAAATCCACCCTCTTGGCTTTTTGATGTAGGCATCGAGGGGATGGCTTGAATCTCTGGCTTAGGTTTTTTGCTACTAAGTATATACGGATGAACATCCAAGGAAAAGTGTCGCGTGTGTTTTTTTTCACCACTTGTGCTTGGGATGGCATTTGGCTCGGTCTTATGAGCGGATGACTGCTGTGAGGTTTTTGCAGCAGACTCTAACAAAGGAGCTATAAGGCTGTCTGTTGCTGTTTTTCTCCGCACAGGCTTCGGTTTTTCGGGTTTATGGTTTTCAACCTTCATAATGGCTAACTGTTCCTTGAATGGCTGAGGAAGGGGATTGGTAGTCGGGATCCATTTCATCTTCTTCCTTGGTCTCTTAATGATGAGCTGCTCATTAGCATCAATGTCTGCTGGATCAACACTTGGGTCTATCGTTTGGATCCCAGAATCACGCATGGTTGGTGTGGCATCGTGATTGGACTGGGCCAATGCTGCAAGCAGCTGTCGTACCACATTGTCATACATCAGATCACTTTCATTTGTAATAAAATCCAGACGGTTCAATGATTTTATGTGGTCCCGATTTTCATTACAAAACATGGCCAAAATATTGATATCACAAAACTGGGACTTCTGCCACTGTTTCTTGGTCTTTATTCCAACTTTGTTCAGTTTATCAAATATGAAGTTAGACTTGCGAAATATGAAGAGGTGAATTAAGTTGATGAGGATTATCAAGTTCATGAAGCAGAGGAGAACTATATCTACACCAGCAATAATCCGCTGGAGCTGGACAGATGGCAGTTTACAGTTCACTCTGATGTGCAATTTGGAGCTGCTTGTTTTGTCTGGGGGCTCTCCTAATGCACATGTAAATTCATTTTGCTTCTGTGTAGCATAGTAGGTGGATAAGTATGTAATTGGTATGATACTTAAAAAGATGATGAACAAATGTCTCGCTAGATAAAGCTTAGCTAAAAAGTTACTTCGTCCTCTTCTTTCCAGGTATTTCTCAAACAAATTTTGTTCAGGGCTTTTTTCCTTCTCTGCATTCTCAATGATTTCCCTCTTCTCTCTCTCGGTGATCCCTGGTCCTTTGGACTGAATCTGTTTCTCTATTTTTGGTGCCCGCCCTTCAGCTGCACGGTGGTAGCAGTTATCGATCTCCTGAAGTAAAAAATTAAGCTCTGAAGTCAGTCGGGTGGAGGCCAGAAATTCCCAGCCCAGAGCTGGAATGTACATTATCCCAGCAAAAGCCAGCAGTGCATAAGGTAGGAACTTATGCTCAAACAAGGAGGGCCAGTGGCTGGCATCAACTCCTGGCAAGGCATCTTTTAATTCTGTCCAACAATATCCTCTGGCATACAAGGCTTGATCGCGGGTGAAGTTGTGTGGTGTATAACAGTATATTGGCTCCTCTGTATAACAGAGAGAAAAGTCACTGCTGTGCATTTAACCTACAAAAGGAGCTCTGGAAAATAAACATTTCAAATTATATCAATTTAATTTTACTGTATCTTTACATGACCATTAACCCCTCCATGTCTATTAGCTCAGCCTGCACACATCTTCACAAGCCCCAGGCAAAACTATTTACTTGGAAGTTTTAGAATGCACCTGAGCTAGAAATGACAGCAAGAAATACGTATTTTGGTTTAATTATCTGTCTAACAACAATATCCTAATCAACTATGACCTAAACTCTGTAAAGTTAAAAGACCTGATATCTACTATACAGTAGCTGAGGATGCTACGTAAAAAATGCTGAAAGGCTCATTTAGGTGAAATTTAAAGTTCATCCCAGCTAAATATTATTCTCTATAGAAAAAGTTAGATGTAACTGAAGGCAATGATTTTAATACTTATTAACAAAGTCTACTCATTGGATAGAGAAGAAAAAATTTAAACTTAAAGACATACAAGCATTTAGTCAACTGTACCCATTCCAGCTAACACTCTTGAATTAAAGTGTGACTGACCAGGATAGAATCTGGTGTGTTAACTGTATTTATCACTATGAAAATGTAATTTTACATGTGAAACTAACATTGTTTTTTACACAATGTGTGATTAAATGGTAGAACTCACTGTCATACAGTATTATGGAAGAAACAAACACTGTGGATCAAGAAAGCAATCAGACAAAATAATGGAAGAAAAAGTATAGCAAAACTTGTGAAAGCTGGAACTGTATTAATTGCCCAAAGAATTATAACCATTATCAAAACACCCTCTTGAAAGAAGACCATATGTTCATGTTTTGGCAGGTAGAACAAAGGGAATATATTTTACAGTGTTCTGGTATACCTCTAAAAAACTTCCTAAAACAAGACCCATAGGAAGAAGGCATAAAATGAGACCCATAGGAAGAAGTTCTCTTGAATTGAGAATCACTCAAGAACACCAAGCTTGCTGCAGTTCTGAATGCAGTCTACAATTCAGACTGAGAACAGCTCACTGGAAGAGAATGGTGGTACTGTTGTCTTAATAACACAAATCATGAAGACAAATAATAAAATATGTCATTTGATAACAATAAATAAACTATTAAAAATTAATAGGCGAGCAAAAGACCCTAATCCTTTTGGCTTAACAGAGGACTCCTTACTTGACCAACTACTTCTCATATGTGAGCAAATCAAAAGCATTTGATAGTTCTTCAGTAAAATGGTGAGGTGTAAGACTCTTCTGTGACCCATAGAGATCTACATGCTGAGGACTGCACAAAAATTCCTTTTTTTTTTAAAAAAAGTGATTCAGTGAGGATTCTTTTCTAAAAATACAACCAATTTAAACAGAGTTGATAGAGTAAATGATGCTACCCAAGACAGCATGTGAACTAAGTCTGGCAAATTTTTTAAAATCACTTTTGAAGACTATTTTAAAATTATTAACTTCAACCTCAGCGGAGAGCTTAAAGCAGTCTAATGTTGTACAGCTTCCCATTTTGACTATTTTTGTGTATTTACAGCCATATGTTACAAGAAAAATGCTCAGTGACTCTCTTGGTTTCAGTAATCACAGGCCCACCCAACCCTACCCATGAAGGGATGCATACAAGAAATTTCAGCTCCTACCATCAGAGTTACGGTATGACTTCCCGGGAGACAAAGTAGTTTCCTATGTGAAAATGTTCCCGTGGGGAAAAAATGGCAAAGAAGCATGGTGCATTTCTCAAAAGCAGAAATATTTTGAATTGGGTGTCCTTAAGCTCAGTAGAACCTGTCAACATGCAATCTATTTTCCTATGACATACATGGGTTCATTTCTCCTAGGTCTCAACACTACAAATACTTGGGAAGACAGCAACAAGCATTCATACAAATCATCCGTAACAAGTATTTCTGGATTCATGTATCAGTTGCTATTACCAAATAAACTGTGAACAGTTCTCTTCACTGCGACCTGAAAGCTAATGTGACTTCTGCCAAAACTGTATACATACAACAACAATAAAACATATATTTATTTTATAAATAAAAAAAGGAAAACAAATCAAAATGCCTTAACATTTACATTTATGTTGGGCAGATCACATAGAGACTAACTCTGCACTCTATCTATTGCCAATGCTTCAGTGAAAAAGTCTGAAGAGCTTCATTAGAGGTTACTTCAAAATTGGGGCTGCCCAGCCCAGTCAAGAAAGCAAATGTCATCTTACAGGAATTTGTTTGCCTTTCCTCTGTTAAACATTTTTTTAGCTGCTCCCATTGCCTGGTAAATTGTGAGAGATCTCTTAATTTACTGGGATAGCTGAGCATGGTGTCCCGTTCTGATTCAATGTTTTGTTATTTGTTGATGATAATCTAGTATTTTCTTTGCATATTTGTTAAATTGACATGATTTTCATTATATGCCACATAAATCCCCAAACCCTTCAGATGAAATCCAATCCTCAGTGAAGTCAGTGGGACTTCTGATAACTGATTGAAGTGGGGGCAGTGGGGTTACAATTAAATTTTATTCAAATGGTATTTTCTAAAATGTTTGAGCCATACTCACTGTGACTGAATGACACTAATTTTGGTATTCTACAGAAGAATCTAGTTTAACCTTCTCAGCAAAGGACTTGTCTCACAAAGCATAGCATCAGCCTCAGGAAGCTCATTCATCTACAAAATAGTCCTGACAATGGAGAAGAGTACCCTTCCAGACAATGATTCAAAGCAAAAGACTAATTTAGCTGTTGCCTGGAGGAGCCTGTCTCTCTTCATTGACAAAAGGCTGCCAAGCAAGATTGCTACTAGGTTTGACTTAGCTTTTGTGAATGTTACTTCTTAGGCAATGTCAGAATTTAACCTGGCATTTAACACCATGAAGGTGTTTGATGCCATCATAGTAGGGTATGGACCTCTTTCTCCTCTATTGCAATCTGTGTCAATTGGGAATAAATGAAAAAGAAGAGCATCATGTCAATAACTAGTTATGAAAGATGGCAGTAACATATCGCTGGATCTCAACATGCATATCTGATGAGAACAGGGGAGTAACAAGTTGTTCTTGCACATATAGCTCATTCTAGGTGTGAGGGCCCTACTTAATGCAGTTTCAAGAAGGCACATAAGATGTATGTTTTTATTTTACAGTGTTATCCTGATAGATAAGTAGCATTAAAAAAAAGCCTGTAACAGTGTTAAAATCATAGCTCTGACATTGGATCATGCAATATAAAAAAAATGTATTTACTTTTCACTTTAGATTCATAAATATAGAAAGTTTCTACTGATATTCTTATTTCACCTTGAAAATCCGCAAGCAGTTTATGAAGTGTCTTTTTCAGATAACCACTCCAGTCACTGTGAAATACAGCTTTTCCCTAAGACTCTACTGTTTAATTGCATGTGGTGTGGCTATTCAACTCTGTAGGAAAAGACAATAGAGTAAGATGCTGTAAAGAAAATTTTTTTAAAAGCTTAGGGGACATTATTATAGATGAGTGGACTGGTTGTCTTCTCAATGTCTTCTCTAATGTCTAGGCTTAAACCCATTAACATAATCTATCCCTTCACTCTCCTTGATAGCTACATTCTTGTGAGCCCAAGACACAGAAATTCCTACAAAAAAAAAAAAAAAAAAAAAAAGAAATGGACAGCAAGGTCATCATCTCCAAAATAATCCTTTGCCAGTTCCAAACAATAATGAAAAAGGTGGTTCAGGGTGGACATGTATTTGTGATTTGCACACATGTGAATCTGTAGCAAAGGCAAAAAAAAGTAAGATGACTAAGCTGCCATCATTATTGGTGGCTGGAATACTAAACTCAACTTTTCTGCATTAAATGTGATGTCTTACTGCAAGATTTTTAGCTCTGATGCTCAGAGTAAAATCAAAGTCTGAAGGTCTGCCTTTAGTTTCACCTACACAAATGTGTTAATTGCATGCCAGAATATGAAGTTCAAGAGTTTCAGAAAACATCACTAGAATACCTGAGAACAAATCCTGTTTTCAGTAATACCTTCCTACAGTCACTGTCATTCCCAGGAAATGTTCCTTTGGAAAAAATTTAAGAGACTAAGTAACCCTGTGATAATGCTGTGCAGAAATAATTACTACATTGGGAAAAAAAGTCCTTGATGTCAATATATAATAAAGTACGTTATACTTTACCTTACACTGGCTTGAGTATAAAGACGCATACTAAGAAGTTTAGCTTCCCTTTTTTTGATACTATTAGATGATCACAGGAGCACTACATCAGATGTTTTCAACAGTTGTACATAAACACTTTTTATTCTGCTCACTATGCATGTAAGTAGCTTCTAGAAGTCCACAAAACTGTTCTCATGGATAAGGTAAGAGAGACATCTTACTGAATTTTTTGGACATGCAAACAAGATGAAATAATCAACACAGTTACTTAGTTGTATAATATATTTGATTGTTAGTCCACTTGAAAAATTAAAATCCCTTGGCTGCTAAGTTTTTCCACATGCTCCATTCTGCACCATCTCATCTCATCAGTTTAAGTACTACTTAAATGGAGAAAAATTACTTGCAGGAAGTACTGTGGTACAAAAGGCATACTTTAGGGGAATGAAAGAGAGTGCATGGTTGTGAGAAGATAGCCAAGGTAGGGAGAGGGATGAAGGAAGGGGCTGTGCTCAAAGAACATTGGAAAGAATCTAAACAGGCAGTATGGAAAGGAGGAGTGAAGGCAAAGTTTGGAAGCTAGGAGCTGCCAAGTCTGCTGCCTGTTCGTAAAGGCTCTGAGAAATGCCTGTGGGCTTCCTGCAGCCACAGGCTCTCACTCCTACCTTTCCCAAACCAAGGTCAGACACCTCCTTTGAGTGGCTCTCCAATCTCCATATACTTTAGTATACATTCAACTGCCCTCTTCAAGGGGTCCTGAATTAAACACCATTTGTCAAGCTGCAAGTGCTATGCATGAAAATGTTAGATAAATAAATATCCTGCTTAT